TATATATTATTATTAGTTTTTTTGGGTGTTTACTTTTAACTTTTATGCTGGATGATTGTTTAATTTAGATAAATATTTAAAAACTAGTTTCATTTTGATGACATGGATTATATATTTTAAGCTTTAAAATCTTTGAAAATTTTGAGAAAAGAATAAAAAATAGAGAGTAACTAATTTTGTTACAAAACTTAGATATTAATTTGATCATTAAATTAGACAAGATATTTGTCACAAATTTTATCTCGATCACTAAACTAATCATTAGTTTTAATTTTAATTTTGATCATATATTTAATCACTAAATTGATGGTTGGTTCAGTTATTATCTGAGTCACTAAATTCATATCTCCATTAAACAGGTCAATTTAACGTCACGAATTTTTTTATTATTCACTTCAACTACTAAATTTACCATTAAATCACGGACTTCAATTACTAAATGATCATGTTTTATCGTTTAGAAACCAAAATTGCTGTTTTTTTTATAGTAACAAATAAGCATAACATGATAACTGCAAAAAGTTAATGTATTTTTTTTTTATTTTAAAAATTTAGTTTCTTACGTATTGAAAAGAAAAATAAAAAATACATATGAAAAAGAATATAGGATAATTATTTTTTAGTAATATAATTCAAACATCAGAGCTAAAAATTTGTTTTCACTTAATATTTATAAAAAGTAGAATGAAAATTGAGGGTTTATTTTAAATTTATTTTTCAATTTATTATGGCATTATTTCGTTTTCATTTCGTAAAAACAAAATTATGAAAAATATAAAATAATAATATTTATAATTTTAAAAACAACAAAGTTTACATTAATGGTCTAAAATTTATTTATTTAAAGAGAAAACAAGTTAACACTTAAAATAAGTTACTTCGAAGAGACTCAATAACAAATATATTTAAAATGTATTTATATATAAATAAGCAATAATACTATAACGTTGGATCTTTACAAATAGAAAAGAGATAATGCAAGAATAACGTAGAGTCTCCAAAGAAACACACCGTGGTGGTTGGTGGTGGGCTCCATCCATCCGATTGCACAAAGCAACTACAATTAACCAAACAAACAAAGGTGGAATGAATCTGCGACAATGACAAATGATTAATTGAGGATTCCTAGTTTCTTCTTTTCTACCAAACCTAATTGTCGTTTTGATTATAACCCACAACCACTAGTCCAACTCCTTCTTCAAACAACAAAACCCATCCAGAACCTTCACTGGGCAGTGTCGTAGCCACTTGTATTCATTTCTTGCTCATGCATTTACACTTCTCATTATAACATCAAAGTCATTTGTCTCGAGAAAACACCTCTGGGATGGGACAAGATACATAATTTTCCACTAGTTTAATAATAATTCACTAAAATATGTAAATTTGAAAAACAAAAATTACTCTGATTTGATCAGACTAAAGTGTTAATAAACATTTGAAGCTATAATGGGTAAGACTAAAGTAGGTAGTGCGAATTATATAATCAAAGAGCATCAGAGGGGAGATAGCGTGTGAAAATAAAAGATATACTAATTTTATTACACATGACGTAGCTGAAATTGAGATGAAAAGTAGTTTATAATTTAGGGTTTAGGGTGGATTAAAGAAGTGATAAATTGCATCAACAAAAGATTTATTAGTAAAGAAAATGTGCTTATAAATGAAGTTGCTGAGTGGAGGGGACCAAAATTGGGATTTGTGCCGTCCTTCCAGGGTGTATGGAAGAAAATTCTCGGGCTGTCGTCGGTTCCAATCAGTCTTCATTGTCCCTGTTCTATTTTGCCACAGATTTTTTTTTTTGTGTGCACAAAACACCGACTTTGATGAGTATATTTTATTATGGAAGCGATCTCAATCTTTCATTTACACATTAAAAATATCTACAGTTTTATATATGGACGTTCAAAGCAGTGTTTATTCATAAACAATGTATTTGTTGTGAAGTTTTTAAGTGGATTTCTTATTGAATTAAATCATGTTTCACTTAAAGCGAATGAAAATTAAATTGTAATGAACGTAGTCAAAGGTGTTCAAGCGGTACATGGTTAGAGAGTTTATATAATTATGAAGACAACGTCAAATGTGGTTTACCTAAGATAGCGTTGTACTCTTTACCAACCAAGATAAGAACTATTTTATTTATGTTATTATTTTGTATAGAATTATATTTATATAATCAGGAGATTTTTAAACCGTTTCAAAAATTAATATTGTATATGTCTCACTTTTTATTAAACTTGAAGTTGAAATTGTGGTTGTTTTTTTATCTCAATTACCACAATTTTTTTTAAAGAAAAATATTAAGAGATTTATCTAGAAAATGATCTGGAAGCATCATATCCATAAACTACCGATAGCATTACTGTGTTATTTACATTCATCTGTTGCATTTTCTTTTAATTATGAAACTTTCTTATGTAATCTTTGATTTCCTAAAATTTAGTTAGTTGTTTTTAAATTTATTTTTAATTTTGTAAAATAAATTTATATCTTACGTTATATTATATTGTCTATCTAAGTTTATACTAAAAGTGTAAGGTGTATAGTTCTTCATCTCTTATACTTAATTTATCTTTAATTTTATATAAGCAAATACATTCTCAAGATCGTTACTATGAACGGAACAAAATTCAACGAAGAAAGTTGAAGTGACACTTTTGAAAACAAAAAACAAAAATGTCAAATACTTTATAAATTTGTATGAGATATTATATTAATCAAATTATTTATTTAGACATAAATTGACGTATTGTGTATTTATATACATTTTAATAAAAAATAAAAAATTAGTAAAAAATTTCAACATAACATACATAACAAAAACTTGTTTTTACCTATCATTATAAAGGTTTAATTTTAATGATTTTTTTGTCTCTTATTTCAAAGTTTCTATAGGTATAGAGAAAGATAAACTTACTGACCTATTTTTTAAAATTTTTAAATTAATCAATTAAATTAATTTTATTTTGACACTATTAATTTAAAAAAAATACACCCTATTTAAATCACACTTAATTAAAATAAAATAATGTTAGTCACGAGATCATTAAAAATTAAAGCAAAATTTACAAATTTATTGATAAAAAATAAAATACATATATCAATCTGCTTACATATGTTCTTGAATATATAACTTATCATCATTGTAAATACTTTTGGAAATGCCTATTTAGTACATTATTCACTGTCAATTTGTGATACCTAATATGTATACAATACAACTAACGAATAAGAGTACACTTTTTTTTTTCGTGTCACGGCTAGTTTCTAATTTGCTGAATGAATCACAAAACAATTTTCATCCGTGGTGTTCTAACTCTTGTTGATTCAAAAAGTTTTCGCACACAAAACCCGAATGCGTATTATCCATTAAATAGATTGTTCCTGCAACGTGTAAACGAACATGTTGCAAGAAAATCCATTCTAAAAAAAATCATTTGCTCTCTCACTTATAACATGTTCCAAAATTCAGGAAAAGAAAATTCAAGTTATATAATCTACGTGAGAAATTGCATAACAGATGCATGACTAGCTGTACCAGAGGTAGAAACGAAATAGAGGAAGAAGATTAGAAGGTGTCATCTGATGAAAACAAAATGAAAAATAAAAAATAAAAAAGAGAAGAAAAGTTTGAGATGTTATAGTATCAAATAAGAGTCGTTCATGACAGGTTTGGATATGGTTGAACTATCATTGTAAAAGTTCCGCATATATGGGTGAGACTTTTTGAACTCTCGGTCAGAAAGGTTAATTAAGACGAACATTTTAATAGCTAAATAACTATGGTAAGCAAGAATTGGTAACTTGGTTTGTTTTGTACCCCAGATGAAATTGATTGATTTCGTAAATTGGGGATTCAACTTCATTAATTTATTTCATTTTTGACTCACCATATAACGAACTCCAACATGACCATTCAAATAAACCCATCATTCAGAATTGTAACGTAGAAGAGTTTTTGTTGGTTTAAAGTGATGATCAAGGGGATGTAAATATTGGCCCAGCAAGGATGAGACGTAAAAAATGAAAGGGTACGAAAACTCCAGAGGGTCACCTGGCTTAATTCATAGGTTTGGAATTCTTTGATGCGTCTATATCAAAATCTGAATTGCACATTCTCCAGAGAGTGCGATTAGAATCAAAATCAGCAATACCTAAATGCATTTAACAGTTTGGGTTTGGGACACACGTTCATCCTAGATCAATCTGTCCAATTTTTTGTTTTTAATCCCATCCAATTCGAAAGCCCATGTTATTCTCAGTTTTTTTTTCTCTTCCAACTTCCATTTTTTTATTATAAAAATATAATTTTTTAAAAGAAATTAAACACGATTGAAACATTTTCATTGTAATAATATAGTAAAACTATGTTAATGTTATGTTAATTTTTTATAAAATTAATAACATAACAAACATTCACAAAGGAGATTGAATCATGTTCATGTAATCACTTTTTGTTACGCAATTCTTTTTTATTTTATCTTTTATATTATATAACTAATTTTATTTTTTTATATGCTTTTTAATTTTAAATCATAATTTTATTTTTAATTTTTTGATAATTATTGTTTTAACGAATTTTTTAAATGTAGATAAACAGCACAACAAATCACGTGAAGGAAAAGGATAGTTTTATATAAAAAAAATATAATTATAACCAGAAACAACATTAAAAATATGATTAACAATATGATTTATTTTATTGTTAAAGTGATATCATAACTATTAATCATTTCGTTAAAAAAACATAAATTGATATTATAACAAGTTCATTCTACAAAATTTATTTTGAGTAAATTTTAACTATATCCATGATATAAATGTATCTAATTTTGTACCAGAACATTACATTTGGTCTTGGTAGCATGAGACTATTTAGAATCTGAAGTGTTGATCTGTAATTTTCTCAAGGATATGGTGTGCACATCTTTATGGCATGGAGAGAAGTCACCAATATCAGACACTGGTTTCAGATGTAGCAGGGGTTAGAGAAAAACATGCCTCAGTCTCATGAAAAAGCTCTGATACTAGTCCAAAAAATGGTGAAAGTGCCTCCACCAAAAGCACTTTTGTTGTTCAATTCCTCGACCTATCAGGGCTTTCACCACACTCCTCACTCTATCTCTTTCATCTTAAACTATCTCCTATCCCATGACATGCTACCCCAAGCTCGATCTCTTATCCTGCGCCTTATCTCTGGCCGAATCCCCTCGTCTATGTTCTCACCTTCCTCCTTAATGCTTCAACTAACACAAGCCCGTTTCACCTCTTGTTCAACCTATGCTCCTCTCTATGAAGCAATTGTCAATTCGTATGTTCATTCTCTCTCACCTGACCAAGCCCTCACTTTCCTACACCAGATGATTCACAAGGGTCATCTTCCTACATCAAACACCTTAAATAATCTTTTGCGCTCACTCATTAGGTCAAACTGTTTCGATAAAGCTTGGTGTGTCTTTAACCAATTGAAGAGTAAAGTTGTCATGGATGTCTACAGTTTTGGGATTATGATTAAGGGTTGTTGTGAAGTTGGTGACTTGATGAAAGGGTTTCGGCTCTTGGGCATGTTGGAGGAGTTTGGTTTGTCTCCGAATGTTGTTATATATACTACGCTGATCGATGGGTGCTGCAAGAATGGAGATGTTATGCTGTCAAAGAAGTTGTTTTGCAAGATGGATAGGTTGGGTTTAGTTGCCAATCAGCATACTTATAGTGTCCTAATGAACGGGTTTTTCAATCAAGGACTTCAAAGGGAAGGGTTTCAAATGTATGAGAATATGAAGCGAAGTGGAATTGTGCCAAATGTTTATGCCTATAATTGTGTGATTAGTGAATATTGTAATGGTGGGATGCTGGATAAAGCTTTTAAGGTGTTCGGTGAAATGCGTGAGAGAGGTATTTCTTGTGGGGTCATGACATATAACATTTTAATAGGTGGGCTGTGTCGAGGGAAGAAGCTTGGGGAAGCAATAAAGTTAGTTCATCGATTCAGCAAAGTTGGTCTTAGTGCTAACATAGTTACATACAACATACTGATTAATGGGTTTTGTGATGTTGGAAAAATGGACACTGCTGTTAGATTATTCAATCAATTGAAGTCAAATGGACTATCACCCACTTTAGTGACCTACAATACTTTGATTGCAGGGTATTGCAAAGTTGAGAATTTAGCAGGAGCTCTTAGCTTGGTTAAGGAAATGGAAGAGAGATGCGTTGCTCCTTCTAGAGTGACATATACGATTCTGATTGATGCTTTTGCAAGACTAAATTATATGGAAAAAGCACGCGAGATGCATGCTTTGATGGAGAAGTCTGGTTTGGTTCCAGACGTTTACACATACAGTGTCCTAATACATGGGTTATGTAAGAATGGTGACATGAAAGAAGCTTCAAAATTATTCAAAACATTGGGTGAGCTGCATTTTGAACCAAACAGTGTTATATATAATACGATGATTCATGGTTACTGCAAAGAAGGAAGCTCCTATAGGGCTCTTAGGCTACTGAATGAAATGGCTCACAATGGAATGGTTCCTAATGTGGCCAGTTTTTGTTCAACCATAGGGCTTCTTTGCAAAGATGGAAAATGGAAGGAAGCAGAGCTTCTCTTAGAACAGATGATGAATTCAGGACTAAAGCCAACAGTTTCTTTGTACAATATGGTTTACAAAGAAAAGATCGACGTTTAGAATGTTGATGGCGAAATTAAATATTTTCTTTGAATCTATTTCTTTTTAATAGAATACTATAATCATTGATCAAGTTTGTTCAAGATACTGTTTTTTACCTCTCTCAGTGTAATCTATATCCTAAATAATTGGATGAGACCCAATGGAGCAGGACATAGCCTGAAGAAAAATATACATACAGACTCTGCTCTATTGTAGAGGTTCAGATAGAAATCATCGTAGCTCTCCCACAATTGATGCTGGTCAGGATTTGGATCGTCCGTATCCAATTCTTTAAGTGGGCTGTGGTCCCCATGGCTTAAGCCCAAAACGTGATGACATAATGCTGCTGTGTTATTTAACCATTACATTTGAGAATGATTTTTGACATTTTAAAAAACTCGTTCCAAAATAAATGAAAAGACCCTTTATAGCATGTCAGTCGGTCATAGCCAATGGGAGGGACCATTCTCCCATAGGGTAGGTTGAGTCGTTATACCGTCGACGAAATTTTAATTTATCTTCCAGAATTTAGGTATAAGACATTATCATATATTTATATATAATTTGATGTAATTTAAATTTATAATTTCTTTATATTCGATATATGTTTTATATTTAAAAATTGGAGATTAGATATTTGTGTATATTCAAGTAACTTCTTCCAGCATGCCTTTGATTGAAATGCGGCACAAACGATTTGGGCAAAACAGGAAATTCAAATATAAAAAAAATTAATAAATAAACACCTCGTATTCTACATTATATTCATATGACACTTATGAGGGAAAAAATGTAGATATTTATAATATAATGTAATAGAAAGATAAAGATAAAGATAAAATAAAAAATTATAAATATCATTTAGATTTTTAAAGTAGAAAGTATGGTCCTAATGTCATAAATGACAACCAGGTTCAAGTGTGATGAAACTAGTGCGGTTAGACTTTGTATAAAAAAAAGTTATATTTCTTTCGTCACAGGGGATATGCGTTTATCAGGTTGCGTATGAATCGGATTTTAATGCACAAGCTGATCCTGGCGGATATTTTTCATCAAATTGGCAACCAAACTAAAGATGCATTGACTCTGTTTGACTTAATTCTTCATCCACCACAGTGACAACTTGGCAACCAAAGGAAAGAGAAAATGACTGGACGTGGAATGGTATTGCTGTATGACTCAAATGTCCATTCAACGCAAGTGGATCTTATGTCCTTGCAAAACAGCCTCTAGCCCACCCATTTTGACGGGAAAAGTATGGTCAAAGAGTCATAAATATGGTCATTTTGACGAATCAGGACTTTTTTACCAATGGGTTAAAAAAAAATTGATTTTATTAAAAAGGTTAAAAAAATTTAATTTTTTCAAAATGGATTAAAACTGGTGAAGAATCACAATTTTATCTTTAAAATTGAGTGGGGAAACACGATTTTGACTAAAATCGTGTGAGAAAGCACGATTTTGACTAAAATTATGTTTTTAAATATATTTTTTTATTATTGAAATCGTGATTTTAAACATAATTTTAAATAAAAAAAATACTATGAAGCAAGATTTTTATTTTTATTTTTTAAATATGTTTTTTTTTAAAGCAACGAGAGAGATTGATGGAAATGTCTTTATATCCAAGAGATGATTTTGATGATGATTCAAATCAATTACATTCAAGTCAACACCATTCAAGATGAATTAAGGACAAACTGAATTTATGACGTTGGTGAAAATGTGAAACATTTTCCTACATGTCCAAGATATGTTTTTGATAAATATGATGATGATTCAAGCAAGCTCAAGATGATTCTTGAAGACTAGATAGAGTCTTAGAATGTTGGATATGAAAGTACAAGTTGATGAAGTAATATTATGCATAAGTCTCAAAAGTACAAGTGTGATAAAATTTATAACATGATATTTTTCTCTATCATAATCAATTATGATGCATCAGAAATAGAAAAATGATTTTCTCTGTCATAATTGATTATACTGGTAATATAATCAATTATAACAATTCAAATTTGAAAAATATATCCGTTTTAAAGAATAAATGTTTTTTAATACATCCTGATTTTCTCTATGATATTATTAATGTTCAACGGCCATTTTCTGATGCTATTTTTCTATTTAAATAATTTTTTATGAAAAATCAAAAACACACAATTACAGAATTCGAAAATACAATTTACATTCAATCAGTTTTGAGAAAAGAATTTTGAGCAAGGCAACTGAGATATTTTATACCTTTTGAGAAAACCCTCTTCTCTACTGCCTTATGTGCTTTCATTGTTAATCATATTTGTTCTTGGAGATTGACATTCTACAGGCTTCTACAATTTGTTTTCTCCATTACCCAGGTGTGTCTGTTCTTATTTTTATTACCTTCATCTTTTGTGTATTGGTGACAAAGGAGGTGTTTTCATCCTTTGATTTGTTCAAAGGAGGTTTTCATCCATAGTGTGATTCTAGGGAGGTGTTTATCCTTAGTGGGATTCTAAGGAGGTGTTTGTTCATCCTTTGATTTGTTTAGAGGAGGTGTTCATCTCTAATGGGATTGTAGGGAGGTGTTCATCCTTAGTGGGTTTCTAAAGAAGTGATTGTCTTTTTAATTAGTTTACTTTTTATTGGTTCTTCTGCTGAGTTGGTTGTAATTTGTAAACTGAATTTGAAAGATAGTGAATTGGGAGTCACTCTTGTGTTAAGAGTTGACTGGGAACTGGATATAGGGTTGACTATACTCGAACCAGTATAAATTAGTGTGTGTTCTTCTCTTTCCCTTATCTCTTTCTCTTTTCCTGATTATATTATCGTTTCCGCTTTATCTGTGTTTAAACAAATTATTGACTCACAAATAAATTTTTAATTTGACATCTATTTTAATTTGTGCATCTATTTATCCCCTCTAGATGTCATTTGTCTAACATTTTTTAAATATTATTTAATAAATAATTATTTTTAATTGAATTATTAATTTAATAAAAATAAAAAATATTATTTAATAAATAATTATTTTCAATTAAATTATTAATTTAATAAAAATAAAAATGTTTAGACAAATATGATTAAATTTAATTCACTATATTTATATTAAAATATTACATCCATATACATTATCAAAAAAAATATTAATAGTGAGACCTGGTCCCACAAGGTGGTCTTCTTATTTATCGTCTTGATATACGTGGTTAATCTTGAATAAACCTTTGTTGTACTTGTGTAATACGTGTATGACCCTGTGATGGTTGAGGTTGAATGTTTGCTTCCCTATCATCATCATCTTCATTTGCATACTGCATAGATGACATATTGGGTATAGTAGTCACGAAAGGTGTTTGATTGTATGTTGATGTTGGTGTCATGAAAGAGGTGGAAAACATGTTTGTTTCATATGGAAACGAAGTAAATGTACGAGAAACTTATCCTCCAAATTGAAATTGTGCAGGTAAATTTTGGAGTTAACCAACATATCCAAAATATGGATAAGGTTGTTGATCATTTGATTGACCACTAAATTGATTACTTGACTGACCAACATGTTGATGATTTGACTGACCAGCATGGACATGAATAGGTTCGCCAATATATTGGGATTGTTCCTGCTGTTAAAAAGTAAAATAAATACTAGTTTGATATAAATGTTATATATATAAAATAAAATTATTGATATACTTACTTCTTCATCTCAATCTTTTTCGTGGATAGAGGAAATATATTTGATAATATGCTGAAAATACCATATCATATATGTTGTATTTTCACTCAAGTGGTCATTCCCGTTGAACTCGTTTCCTTGAATTAGTCGATTGTAACGAGCATTCCACATAGTAATCCAAGTTTCATGATATTGAGGCCAAAATCCATCAATTCTACCTCTCATGTCTTCTCTGTGAAGTTTGTCAAGATTGATCGGGTCTTCTGGAATTTGTTGACGAAGTCCAAATTGCCTCATATGTCGATTTGCTGGATGAAACTCAACAATAACAAAACATATCATTGGAACAATAGCACGACTCACAGGAGAAACCTCAACATTTATTAGTCGTTGTAACCTAGGACGACGATAAGGAGTCCATAAAAACTATATTATTTTATAGAACTTGTAAAATTAGAATTATTATCATTTAAGAAATACATATTGAAAGCTATATTAAATGAAATATCTCCTTTGCTTTCAATTGATCAAATGTTAGACATAATACATGTATAACATATGTAATCATGTTGGACCTTTGACCTAGTCGTGACCACCCATTGCATACAAAAAAATATACTACTATACAATGAAGTAATATGAAAGAAAGAAATGGAATAAAACAATATAAAATAAATTTGAATACCTTTTAGCCAATGGGAAACCATATCCTGTAACAATCTCCTCATTGGTTAAATCTTCTATCTTAGGATAGATGCATATAATATGGTCTCATGTCCAAGCTTGAAGAAATAACATGCATCCTCTAATGTCCTTTTGATGGTAATCAACACCATGATCCAACGCTCTATACAAACATGCCAAAATAGTTTATCCCCAACTATAGTTTGAAACTAGAGTTAGATCCTGCAATAATAGAAGATACATTAAATGCACTCTAGATGTTGAAGTATCTGACAATAATAAACTCCCTATTATTGTCAGTATGTGTGTCCTGACATGTTGTACGATAACGTTATCGTTTGCATCATCTAGAAGGTGTTGAAATGAAGTGTTTAACCAATATAATTTTATTGTGTTTCATGTAGCCACACCTTGCAGTGGGGGTGAACCTAATAATTGTTCGCAAAAGATGGTCAAATCTCCACTACTAAGACCTGTAATTGGTAGTCCATCAATAAGCAGACCTAATTGTAATGTCACATCTTCTAATGTATTTGTGGCTTATCCGATGGAAAAATGAAAGGTGTGAGTTTCAGTTCTTCACCTTTCAAACAGTTCCAATTGTCATTAATTGTCCAAATCCAGTCTGGTGGATTAAATTTTTAACCTGGTCATCCAACACGTGTGTATGTTTTGTTATCCACATATTATGTCGCCTAGAGCGTAATAATCTTTCATTTCCTGCCCACAATGTCTTTGTTACATGGACAGATTTCAAGTTGGCACATCGTCCATGACCGTTAATGATCATGTTATTCAAGATATTGTTGAAGATTTTACTAATGAAGAAGAATATGATTTTTTCACTGCTGCAATGTATATGAATGATGATGTCTTGCTACGTGTTGGACAATCGTCAAATCAATTTACCCAAACAAGCGAAAATAACATCTAGGAAGGTCGGTGTTTTCCATTAAAACAGGTAGCAATGCAATCAAACAATTTCATATTGATGAGAGATACAAATTTCATGTTGTTGAGTCTAAAGTTGACAAATATATTGTTCATTGTATACATTATGACAACCAATGTCAATAGAGGGTTCGTGCTTCATACAGTAAAATTCGTACACAATGGAAGATTAAGAAAATTGAAGCGCCACATACATGTTTGAGTACAATGTTAAATCCGGATCATCAAAATTTAGACTTTTCTATCATTGTTAACATGATTTTTGAATTAGTTAAAACAGATCTCTCTCTTCCTATTAAAACTTTGATTGCAGAAGTCAAAGACAAACATGGTACATTGACTTACAAAAAAGCATGAGTAGCGAAACAAAAGGCACTTACTGTGGCATTTGGAGATTGGGACGACTCATATAATAATCTTCCAAGGTAATGGCAAGCCGTTGAAGATAGTAATCCTGGTACAATTGTTCAGTACGTTTGTTCTCCTCATTTAGTGCATGGTGTCCATAATAATCCATCATTTATATTAGAGCGTGTCTTCTGGTCATTTAAGCCATGTATAGAAGGGTTCAAATATTGCAAGCCAATTATTCAAGTTGACGGTGCATTCCTAATAGGGAAATACCATGTTACGTTATTAATTGCAACTTCACAAGATGACAATAGAAACATATTTCCACTTGCATTTGCAATTGTGAAAGGTGAAACGAAAGAGGCATTGATATGGTTCTTGCAACTTCTAAGATATTACGTTACACTTCAAAATAATTTATGCATGATAACAGACAGAGACAAATGAATATTGTCAGCTTTATAATCAGAAGATCTTGATCAGAATGATCTCACCTCAGTGTATTATATTCGTCATATTGCTTCAAATTTTAACAAAAATTTCAAAAATGTTGATTTGAAAAAACAACTCATCAATCTAGGTAACATCTTTTAATGTAGACAAATTCTTTTCTCTAAATAAAATATGTCTATAATAATATTTTTCTATGCAGGATATAAGATGAAACAACCAAAACTTTTACCAAAATTATCTACTTTAAGGTCTGACTTTCATCAACAAATGTCCTGGTTAAATGAGATTCCACTGGAGAAATGGACTCAAGCTTATGATGGAGGAAAACAATATGGACATATGACAACAAATCTTGTTGAGTCTATGAATTCTAGTTTTACCTATATCTACTTTAGTAAAAACAATTTTTGAAAGAATTAAATCTTGGTTTGTGGAAAGAGACATGAAAACAGTGTGTATGTTACGAGCTAGACATGAGTATCCAGAACATATTACTACACTGCTTAACGAAAACGAACAATGTGCTCAAATGTGTCACGTTCAAAGGTACAATCGAGATAATGATGAGTTTGACATACAAGGTCAATCCAATCCCCAGTATCGTCGAACATCAATAAGTTACACAGTTCGATTAAATCAATGGTGGTGTGATTATGGAGAATTTCAAGCTCTTCGACTCCCTTGTCCTCATATTTTGGTTGTTTGTTCTTCTTGTCATTACAACTGACTACATTTATCGATCCGATTTACAACTTACAAAACATTCATAAGGCGTATGAATTTCAATTTCATCTGATTCAAAATGAAGATTATTGGTTTACTTATATAAGTCCAAATTTTTGTCCTGATCCTAATATGTATCTAGACACGTCAGGAAGACCTACAACTAATCAATTCGAAATGAAATGGATGTAGAAGTTGGAAATAAACCAAAAAAATATTCTTTTGTGAAATTGAAAGACATAATCGTACAAATTGTCCATTTCAATAATAAATTTGTATTTTTTTAATAATGTAATATTTTAATATAAATGTAGTGAATTAAATTTAATCCTGTCTAAATAATTTTATTTTTTATTAAATTAATAATTCAATTAAAATGAATTATTTAATAAATAAATATTAAAAAAAATTACGTTAAACAAAAAAAAAGGTAAAATCGAATTTGAAAGCATGACTTAAAAAAAGAAGAAGATGAAATCGTACTTGACGGCACAATTTAACAAAAAAAAATGAAAACCACTAAAATCGTACTTAAAATTACGATTTCAGTCAAATTCGTGGCTTCAAGCACGATTTCCACCCCTCAAAATCGTTTTTCCTTGCACAATCTACCCCATTTTGGTAATAATCGAAATTTTCGACCCCTTAAAATAAAATCTAAAATTTTTTAATCCGGGATGGTAAAAAAGCCGACGAATCAGATTATACCTACACATTAGTTCTATGCTATAAAAACCAAGTCCACATTGAGTGCTTATGCTCACAATGGCTTCATCTTTATCTTCTTCTGCTGCCATCCATGTCATCCTCCTCTTGGTAACCCTTTTCTCAGTTTCCTGTGTACCATTACCACATGAACCCACAACCAAACCAAAACCCTATATCTTGCCAATTAAGAAAGACCCAGCAACACACTTGTTCTACACCACAATTGGCTTAGGAACACCCCAACAAAACACAGATCTAGTCATTGATCTTGGTGGAGAAAACCTCTGGCATGACTGCAGCAGAAAACACTACAATTCTTCCTCCAACCATAAAGTGGTTTGTGAGTCAAAGAAATGCCCCAAAGGCGGCGCATGCATGGGCACTGGCTGCGTTGGCCCTTACAAACCAGGTTGTGCAATCAACGATTGTGCTATCACAATGGACAACCCATTTTCTCAATTCACAACCATCGATTCAATGGTCGAGGACGTCATATCCTTGTCTCACACTTACGTACCTGGCTTTCTTGCTGGCTGCGTTGACGTGGATGATGGCATCTATGGCAATGCTTTACAAGGTTTACCCAAAAGTACCAAAGGGATCGTAGGCTTTTCTCGGTCAAAACTTTCATTTCCATCACAATTTGTTTTGGCAAATAAGCTTCTTCCCATGTTCTCTCTCTGCTTCCCTTCTTCACATAACTTGAAAGGATTTGGTAACATCTTCATTGGAGCAGCTTCTGGTGGACATCCTCAAGATGAATCCAAGTTTCTCCAAACCACCACACTTGTTGTCAACCCCGTTGCCACTGGTGCAGTGTCTATATATGGTGCCCCTTCCATCGAATACTTCATTCACGTGAGATCAATAAAGATTGGTGGCCATGTTGTCAAATTAAACCCTTCTCTATTGTCCATTGACAAAAAGGGTAATGGGGGTACCAAAATTAGCACCCTGACTCCATGGACTAAGTTACATAGTTCTCTCTACAAACCCTTTGTGCAAGATTTTGTCAACAAGGCTGAAGGAAGAAGAATGAAGAGAGTGACATCAGTGGCACCGTTTGATGCATGCTTCGATTCAAGCACCATTGAGAATTCTGGGACTGGTCCAGTTGTGCCAATTATTGATCTGGTGCTACCGGGGGGAGTGCAGTGGACTATTTATGGAGCCAATTCCATGGTAGTGGCAGGCAAAAATGTTGCCTGTCTTGCATTTGTTGATGGAGGGATGAAACCAAAATTATTCTCTGTTGAAGCCTCTATTGTTATTGGGGGGCATCAGTTAGAAGACAATCTTTTGGTCATTGACATGGCTTCCTCAAGATTAAGCTTTAGCTCCTCTCTTTTGCTCCGGAACGCAACTTGTTCCCATGTTTGAATCGTGTATACACCGTGAAAAGCATATGGATTAGCACTGATGAATACTGCTCCTTCTGCCTTTTTCCTTATACTGTACATCTTGTGTCCAGTAATAAAAGCTCGTGTAGTGTTATTTTATTCTTCTATCTTTTTCAAACAAAAATTTATGCTTTTATTTTTTAATACAATTTCTTGATTATATTTTAATTTTAATTTCAAATCTTGATATAAACTAAATTTTAATACAATTACAAACTTAATTATAATAATTGATTTATGCATACATAATTTCTGACTATTAGGTCGTGAACGCTGGGATGGACTAATGCAAGAAGATTTTTTCATTATCTCCCACTAAATGCCAACATCTTTGTTTGGATGACAATAAAACATGCTTAAAAATTGGTCTTTTAAATTTCTTATCTCCACTTTAAGGTTTACATAATATATAATTAATAACTATAACTTTTCTTATAGTGGTATTGTTATCATGTTCCACCTTGTTTTTTTCTACATAGCATGTAATCAATTGAATCTCACCACTATTCCTACTTGCACTTAAACAACCATTATTAGACAAATAAATCACTATTTACTTCTTTTTGGCAATATATCTATTTACTTTTAAAAATATTTGTTCACTTTAAGCTTTAAATCTTTCAAGAAAACATTGAGAGCATGAGATTGTTTCCAGAGTCTCAAATTTGACTTTTAAGTGTACAATTATGATAAATACTTAAAAGAAACTTTTCCATACTTGTCGTCTATTAAAAAAATTTATAAGAATCGTGGGTTAGTGCCCTCTTGAATAATATATGTAGAAAAATGATAGCATTTTTTTTTCTCTCCCTCCCACTCATAAGAAAAAACGTAGGCTTGTACAACTTTGGGTCATCGTCGATGCCCTACCTACCCACTCTTTTCTCCTTTTAAGCCCGTCGCTCTGGGCTAGGGCTATACAATAAAAACCCAATATCTCCAGATGCGTGGAGGTCTCAAATTTTTCCATGGGCTCAACTTTATATACTCTTTGAAGTTGTTGTTAACTTTTGAGCAGAAGAAAACCTAAAAAACAATTACCTAAACTATTTTTTCGGCCCAATAGTATATTTTATTTAGTTTTAGACTTAAAAACTCGATTATAATAAAAATTTAATAAGATAAGAAAAATTAATGTTATAAATAATATATTAAAAAATAAAATTGCTTAAATATAGTATTTTTAATTTATTGATATAATTATATTTTTTACTATTTATTCGTTAGTAATTTTTCTTTTATTTAATTTTTTTTCATTCACTTTTTTTCTTATTTTTTTATCTTTTATTTTCTCGTCTTTTACTTATTCCTTTAATTAAAAATATTATATTATTGTTTATTAAAAATATGTTAAAGTAATTTTTAAAAAATTAACATTAAACACACACAAAAATAATAAATTATTTAAAATTATGATGTCGTAAATAAAATTATTTATGATGATATTAAATAATTAATTTAGAATTATTTTATCACATTAAATTAATTACTATTTTAATTTAAAATATTAATTTTTATCTAGTGATTTAATCTAATTTAAATTGTGGCATTTAGTTGAATTAAGTAATTTTAAAATGTTATTAATTAAAAAAAATACTTTAAATTAAATATTTTATTAATTTTTAATGTTTGATATATATATATATATATATATATATATATATATCAGATTTAAATATAATATGTTTTTTTAATTTGAATAAAACAAATGGAAGAAGAATACAAGTCAAAAAAGAGAAAAGGAGTAAATAAGGAGATCGAAGAATAAAATTAGAAAAAAGAAACAAGAGGTGAGAAAAAAATATAATAAAAGAATGAGGAAAGAAGAAACAAAATAATAAAATAAGAGAGAAAAATAATTATTCTAAGAAAAATCTATTCAGTAGGTAAATTTATAAAAAATTAATTTAAATAATTTTTTAAAATATATTATTTATTATATTGATTGACGTAAGTGACCTAATTATAATTTAAAATAATAAAAATTATTATTTCGCTTTTGAAATATATAAAATAATTATATTTTGTACTTTGACTTTCTTTAACAGTGTATTTGTTCGATTTAAATTGAAATTATATCAATTTAAATTATATATTGTAAATAAAAAAATATAACCTTTTAATTTGCAAATACGTGTCTATGATGAAATTTAGTTATAATATGATTTACAAATTTCAAAAGTATTTGTTTGTTATGAAAAAATTGACTAACATGCAGTAAATTTTCAGAATACAAAATGCTATTTCTAACAAAATTTTGAAATCATACATGCTAATTTCTTAATCATTGTTACCTTTCCTTTGCCAAATCAAGTATAGTATTTATACAGTGTAAAAGCATTAATAAAAATATATAAATTCAGATAAAATAAATATCATAATACAAAATCTTAAGAATAAGCAACACTGTTGCTTAAAAAAAGAACAAATAAAATAAAAAATTACCTCACATAAATTTTTTTATCTAAATATTGGTAACTAACTCACTAATCAACCTCTTTCAAATTACATAAGTTAATAATATTAATTATATAAAAATTATTTCTTTATCAAAAGAGAAAATATAATATATATTTATATTATATTTGTTTTTCTCTACTTCTCTTAATTATATACGTCCCTCAATTTTTTCTTCATATATAAAATAATAAAAAGTATAATTTCTTTCGTATTCTCTTACTTATACATTCTCTTCCTTTTTTTTCTCTAATTCAAATTCTATCTCTCATTTATTTATATCCAATGATTCATAATTTTACAAACAAATTTTTACATTTTAAAATTAACATTATCAAATTTTAATAAATTAATTTTAATTTTGTTAAATGTTAATTTAAAACAAGAATAGGACAAATATAAATATTTTATTTTATTTTATTTACAAAATATAATATATAATACATGTGTAAATATTTTAAAATTTGTATAAAATTAGTTTAGTGCTAATTTTGATGTTATAATTTAAAAAATAGTTTTTTTAAAATAATTATCATTATAAAAAATTAAAATCTCCTTTAAATGTATAATAATTTTAATTAAAATATTATATTAAATTAATATTTGATTATAATAATTAAATTGTTTTTAAATTATAAATTAAAATATAAATAAAATTATAAAAATATTAATATTTATAAAATAAATTATTTGATTATAAAAATTTAATATAAATTATTTTAAAATAATATGGTATATAATAAATTTTATTTTAAGAAAAATAATGACTCTAGTGTGTTATTTATAAGAACAAATCATAGTGTTAGTAATGAAGATCATATCTGTGACAGGATAGATGTTATTGGAGAGGATCCAAGGTGGTAAAAAACCATGTCTGAAATGAGGCAACATTGATGATATTAACAATTTGTCCCACTTCACATGCGGATTGCGTCATCATAAGTTATTCTTTGATTTTGAGCCGGTGAAGTAACTTCATGCTTTTTATAATAAAGAAGAAAAGAAAATAATTTATGTGAACCATATCTTTCTCTTTTTACCCTACACAGTGGATGGATGATATCCTTTCACTACTGTCCAAATTCCACAATCAGATGCCCTTTTAATCCAACGGTGTAGGAAAGGAATCTAACCACGATATTTTTTCTCATTTTGCAATTTAATAAAAAATCTTTAAATGTAGGATTACATGTAGTATTCTCATTCCTTATTTGTCAAAAACACAGTGCCTCTAAAGTGCCATCAAATCATAAGATCGAAATATCTCTCACCACTATCTTTTAAATAATACAACCAAATAGTGCGGGGTAAATTAAATAAAAAAGAAGAAGAAAAAAACTATCCCAAAATCAAGTTTTACAAAATTGAGAAGCTTCCGATTCTGAATTCAACAACAAAACTTGGTAATTTAGAAGCTTCAGTTCAGAAACACAAATCAAACAAGAAAACTTAGTCATTGGTACTAGAACTAGAACAAGAATTAGAACTCCATCCACGAAGTGATGGTAAATATTCAAATGGACTCTGAAGGAATGGAACTACCAAATTTAATATAGGAACACTTGGTTTTTTTGGTGAGAAGGGAAGAACTAAATCCCACCATGGAAGTGGCCAAGTCAAACTGCACTAGCACATCCTCCAATTGATACCCTCCAATCACAATGGAATTCTTCGGGTTCTCACCTCCATCCAAGAACCCTAAACAAACCACTTCATGGCTCACTCTCACCATGGAGTTCCTCCCATGTATGCTCCATTTTACCATTTCACTCTGCAGAACCAGGTCAACGACAGGGGCAGCGGGCCCCACCTTAGAGGAACTGAAACAAAGCTCAAAGGGTGCCACGGAAGCCACTCTGGTCATGTTCATGGACACGGCAGCGTCCAAAAAAGCTTTCTTGAAAGAGTCAAAGATGGAACTCTGCATGGTGGTGTAGGGCACAATTGAGCTTATAAGAGTCAAAGCACCTCCTCCACCACCCTCTTGCTCGTTGGACTCAGAGACGTCCAGGGACAACCTTTTTCCGTTGATTTTGACGGAGCTAACGTTGATGAAGTATTCCTGGGAGGGGATGCTGGTGACGAGGGGCGTGAAGGTTAGAGACTTGAGAATCTCGGATTCGTAAGGGACGTTGCCCAAGAGGAGAACCCCTTTGGAGGAGGAGAGACAGAGAGTGAGTTTCCGCTGTGTGCTGAAGTTGTCGAAAATCTGGGAGGGAAGCGAACTGCGGGACCTGGCGAGGCCAACCATGCCTCTGGCACCCCTGGCGAGGCCATGCAAGAGGGAGGTGGGGGAACATGTGAAGCGACTCTGGTGTTCGTGGATGGTTTTAGATTCAGCAGATTGAAGGGCCATGAGGTCCTCCACGAGTTCTCCCTCGGTAGCGATGATTCCGGTGATGCTATTCTCGGGGAAGACTTGGCAGGGTTGGTAGAGGTGTTGCTCGACGGGGCCGGAGAGAAAGGAGTTGGTGGATTTGTGGGTTTTGGCGGTGAAGCATTGGAGGGAGCGGTGAGGAGTGG